CACATTCCACTTTTGTTTCTTGTTCCTTCCAGATTCAATGGCTTTTTTCAGTCACTTGACTTATTACCCTTCTTCCCACTTCAGGATGCACACCTAAAGGCACCCTAATTTTTTTCAAGCTTTCTTCAAAGGCCACTTCCTTATCCTAGCTCAAGTTTACATTTCACTATACCCCTTCCCTTTTTTCCTTCATAGCATTAGCCCACATTGCAACTAAAATTCCTGTAGCTGTTTATGCAATGCTTTGCTCCCTGACGATAGCCTTCATGAGGATAGGAATGATGTCTGTCTGGGTCATGGCTGCTCCTTGGTACCTAGTACAAGCTGTAAATAAATAAGCAATGAAATACAGTCAAACCTCATCTCCCATCTCAAATAGTTTGTTTCTCAACTAAGCTGTTCATAGAAAAAAATGTCTTGGTTGTGGAACCAAAACTTCTGTTTTCAACCAGACAGATCTTTACGCTGCTACCCCCCAGCGTGACAGTGCCTCTCAGACAACAAAGGAGAGAATGCTTTTGTTGTTGGCCAAAATCTATAATTAGCACAATCTTAAAACATAAAGAGGCCCTCCAGAGTGCTAATGTTGCCCTGGCTGGTTTGGCCCAGTGGATAGAGCATCAGCCTTGTGACTGAAGGGTCTGGGTTCCACACCAGTTAAGGGCAAATGCCAGGGTTTGGGGCTCAATCTCTGGAAGGGGCATGTAGGAGGCAGCCAATCAATGATTCTCTCTTATCATTGATGTTTCCATCTCTCCCTCTCTGAAATAAATAAAAAATATATTTTTTAAAAAAGGAAAGCGTGTTAATGTTGCTAAGGTTGTGAAGCAATCACAGGCAACCAAATAGATATAACAGCTATTGTTGATTGGATAAACAAAAACCACTTAGCTGCTGATAGCATTGCTAGGCAATGATACAGCAAAAATTCCTTTAAGGCTGGTCCAGGGTGGTTTGATAAATTTAAGAAAAGAATTGCTTATTTGTACACAGTACATTAGACATGTACTGCATCCAAGAAAGGTTAAAACAGGGAATCATTTGGGGTCTGGAACAGATTAATTCAATTTTGGCTCACAGGGAAAAATTCTTTCTAATGGGAAAAAAGTGATTTGGTTTTTGAACAAATTGCTTCTCAAACAGCCTTCCAGAACGAATTAAGTTTGAGAAACAAAGTTCCACTGTAATGTGTCATTCACAGTATTGAATAATGTTTACAGATTGAAAGATATGTTTTAAATTACAGTGACAATAATCTCAAATCAAACTGTCGTTCTCACCCTGCCTTCATGGCTCAGTGGTTGAGTGTTGATCTATGAACTAGGAGGTCACGGTTTGATGCTGGGAACATGCGCAGGTTGTCAGCTTGATCCCCAGTGGAGGGCATGTGGGAAGTAGCTGATCCATGGATTCTCTCCCCATAATTGATGTATCTATCTCTCTCTCCCTCTCCCTTCTGCTCTGAAATCAATAAACGTATATTTTGTAAAAATATATATAATTCTCTAGTTGATATGAATTTAGATGATCTCTAATGTGATTTCAGGGAATTATATACAGTGTATATATCTTAAACCAACAGTATTTTAGTTTCATATTTTTCATTGATGTATGAATGATCTACTCATTGCCTGTTCTCAATAGTTGCTGGCTAAATAAAAGCATTACTATTAATCTATGTTAAGATTCTCTAGTTCAAAGACCCTTAATAGCTGCAGCAATCCTGAAAAAGAAGAACAAAGTTGGAGGGATCACAACACCAGTTATCAAGCTATATTACCAAACATCTATTCTCAAAATTGTCTGGTACTGGCACAAAAACAGACATATAGACCAATGGAACAGAACAGAGAACCCAGAAATCGACCCAGGCCATTATACTCAATTAATATTTGACAAAGGAGGCAAGAGTATACAATGGAACCAACAAAGTCCCTTCAATAAATGGTGTTGGGAAAATTGGACAGATACATGCACACACAAAAAAAATGAAACTAGACCACCAACTTACACCATACACAAAAATAAACTCAAAATTGATAAAGGACTTAAACATAAGATGGGACACCATAAAAAAATCTTAGAAGAGTCAGTCCATAAGCAGCAAAATAGCAGACATATGTCATACCAATATCTTTTACCGATATAGCTCCTAGGACAATGGAAACTAAGGAGAAAATAAACAAATGTGACTATATCAAAATAAAAAGCTTTTGCACAGCAAAAGAAACCATCAACAAAACAACAAGAGAGCCCACTGCATGGGAGAACATATTTGCCAATGTTATCTCCGATAAGGGTTGTCTCATCATGAAGCAAAATTACTTTGCCGTGTCTTCTGGCCCATTCTGGTCATTTCACGATCAAAGTGTGGTTCAAATTGATAATTTGTTGTCAGTAGCCATCAGTATTAATGGTTTCACCTGGTTTTAGAAGCTCATAATACATCACACCTTCCTGATGGCACCACCATGTGACTCAGTAATCCCACTGCTAGGAATATATCTCAAGAAATCAGAAACACCAATCAGAAAGGACATATGCCCTCCTATGTTCATAGCAACACAATTTATAATAGCTAAGATTTGGAAACAGCCTAAGTGGCCATAAGCAGATGAGTGGATTAGAAAAATCTGGTACATCTACACAATGGAATACTGTGCTGCTGTACAATAGAAAGAACTCTTACCATTTGCAACAGCATGGATGGACCTGGAGAGCATTATGCTAAATGAAATAAGCCAGTCAGAGAAAGATCAGTATCACATGATCTCACTCATTTGTGGAATATAATGAACAACAGAAACCAATGAACAAAAATAGATCCAGAGACATAGAAGCATCTAAAAGATTGTCAAACCTCAGAGGGAAGGCAAGAGAGGGTATGTTTAGGGGGAGAGGGTTGGAGATCAAACAAAGGACTTGTATGCATGCATACTAGTAGGGGCATAATCAATGGACACAGACAGTAGAGGGGTAAGGGCATGTGCTGGGGGTGGGATCAGCTGGGGAGATGTCAATGGGGGGAAAGGGAGACATATGTAACACTTTAAACAATAAATAAATTAAATTAAAACAATTCTCTAGTTCAGAATTTTTCAACATCATACTAGTAAATATTGAGTTACATTAAAAGATGGTGGCGTAGGTAAATGCTGGCACTCACCAGTTCCCAAACACACCAAAATCACAACTAAAATACAGAACAACCACTATTCAGACCACCTGAAAGCTGGTTAATTGTAAGTCCTACAACTAGAGAAGTGAAGAAGAAGGCACATAAAGACTGGTAGGAGGAGTGGAAGGGCAGAACAGGCTGGTCCAACACCCATATGTGGCTTGTTTTTCATTGGGAGGGATAGCTCTGCTGCCAGAGGGCTTCTTTGAGAATAAGGGTCCCAACCACATACCAGACCCCTAGCCCAATTAAAAATGAAACGGCCCTATGAGCCAGTGATTCCACTTCTGGGAATATATCCAAAGAAACCCAAAACACTAATTTGAAAGAATATATGCACCCTTATGTTCATTGCATGGTTATTTACAATAGATTTGGTTTGGTTTTTGCTTGCTAATTGTTTTGGTTGGTTGATTTGTTTCTCCACTGGGATTATTCCCCTCTTCCCTTTTGAAACAGCAATTAGTCTGGCAGCATGG